TACGGTACTGAGGAATCAAACCCAGGGCTTCATGCATGCTAGGCAAACACTCTACCACTGAGTCACATTCCCAGTTCTCTTCTTCCTTTCTAATACTTGTTTCCTCTAGTTTCTGTTATTTACTTCATTTATTTAATGCAGAAAAAGGTCTTGGGCTGGGAATGTGGCTTAGTGGTAGAGTGCTGCCTAGCATGCATGAAGCCCTGGGTTCAATTTCTCGTACCAGATAAACAGAAAAATCCACAAGTAGAGCGGTGGCTCAAGTCATAGAGTGCTAGCCTTGAGCAAAAGAAGCTCAGGGACAGTGCCCAGACCCCAAATTCAAGCCCCAGGACTGGCAAAACAAAAAAATGAAACAAGGTCTCACTATGTTGCCCAGGTTAGCCTGAACTGGAGCCAGACACCAATTTTCATCACCACATCAGCTTCTGTCTCTTCATTTCTTGACTAAAACTGCCTAATTCTTTTAGGACATTTCAGGTGCCTCAGGGACCAATGTCCTTGTCCTGTTTTCCTCTTTAGTAAATGTCTTCTGTATCTAATAAAATTAACCACTGCTGGTGATTTGAAATAAACTTTTTTTTTTTTTGGTTGGCGTGGGGCTTGAACTCTGGGCCTGGGCGCTGTCCCTCATCTCTTCAGCTCAAGGCCAGCGCTCTACCACTTGAGCTACAGCGCCACTTCCGGTTTTCTGGTGGTTTATTGGAGATAGGAGTCTCACGGTCTCTCCTGCCCGGGCTGGCTTTGAACCGAGATCCTCAGATCTCAGCCTCCTGAGTAGCTAGGATTAAAGGCGTGAGCCACCAGCGCCCGGCGAAATAAACTTTTTGAAGTATTAAAGATATATCCAGAGATACTAGCCTAAATAGAGCAGGACACTAAAATCCATCCACGGCACGTAAAAAACAATTTTAGGCTGGACATTGGTGCCTCATGCCTGTAATCCAAGCTACTCAAGATGCTGAGATCTGAAGATGGTGGTTCAAAGTCAAACCTGGCTAGAACGTTAATGAGATGCCAATTCACCACCAAAATGCCAGATTTGGAACTGTGGCTCAAGCGGTAGACTACTAGTATTGAACACAAAAGCTCAGAGAGAGAGAGCACACAGGCCCTGAGTTCAAACCAAGAGGGTGAAAGAGGATGAATGTACTAGAAATAGGCTTTTGGTGTATATGATAACATATAGTAGAACAATGAGACCTGTTGAATTGTTTTAAAGGGGGAGGAGATAAAGGAGGATGATAAGGGGTGAGGTTGATAGAATACACTACTTACTAGTGTGGAAATGTCACAATGGCATCTCTCTTTCCTTGTACAACTAATATATGCTAATACAAATAAATAAATTGCCAGTCTACAACAAAAAAGCTTTGTCTTTGGGCTGGGAATGTGGCTTAGTGATAGAGCGCTTGCCTAGCATATATGAAGCTCTGGATTAGACTCCTCAGTACCACATAAACAGAAAGGGCCAGAAGTGGCACCGTGGATCAAATGGTAGAGTGGTAGAGTGTTAGCCTTGAGCAAAAGAAGCTCAGGGACAGAATCCCCAGGCCGTGAGTTCAAGCTCTAGGACTGGCAAAAAAAAGTTTTCTTTTCATATTTTTTCTTTTTTTTTTTTTTGGTTTGTTTTTTTGTTTTTGTTTTTAGTAGGTCATGGGGCTTGAACTCTGGGCCTGGGTGTTGTCCCTGCACTCTTCAGCTCAAGGTGAGTGCTCTACCTCTTGAGCCACAGTGCCACTTCCGGTTTTCTAGTGGTTTATTGGAGATCAGAGTCTCACGGACTTTTCTGCCCGGGCTGGCTTTGAACCGTGATCCTCAGATCTCATATTTTTTTCTTGGTCAAGATAGATTAGGGAAAATGAGGCACAGTAAAGAACAGCCAGGCCAGATGCTGGTGGCTCATGCCTGCAATCCTAGCTACTCAGGAGGCTAAGATCTGAGGATCACAATTCAAAGCCAACCAAGGCAGGAAAGACTGTGAGACTCTTACTTCCAATTAACTACCAGAAAACTGGAAGTGGAGCTGTGGCTCTAAGTGGTAGAGCGCTAGCATTGAGAAAAAGAGCTCAGGGACAGTGCCCAGGCCCTGAGTTCTAGCCCCACAACTGACATAAAATAAATAAAGAACAACCAGGAATTCAGCAACACGTTTTGAATGAGCAGCTCTATTAGAAACACAAGCATTATCTTCTTTGCCTTATACTCCATAAACTGCAGAATTAGTACAAAGATTTTTCTTTTGAAAAGAGGAGCCTGAGATCTGAGGATTGTGGTTCAAAGCCAGCCTAGGCAGGAAAGTCCGTGAGACTCATCTCCAATAAACCACTAGAAAACCGGAAGTGGCGCTGTGGCTCAAGCAGTAGAGGGCTTGCCTTGAAGACTGTGAGACTCTTACTTCCAATTAACTACCAGAAAACTAGAAGTGGAGCTGTGGCTCTAAGTGGTAGAACGCTAGCATTGAGAAAAAGAGCTCAGGGACAGCGCCCAAGCCCAGAGCTCAAGCCCCACGACCGACAAAAAGAAAAGAAAAAAAAAGAAAATATGTATGATAGAATGCATTTTTTGAAGAGATTTCCAAACATCCATGATCAAAATTTAATGAGCAGATCAATCTTGAGACCCTGAGCCCAAGTGATAAAAGGACAACACCAAGAGTGATTAAATGTGCCAGGTGTGAGAACAAAGAAAAACATTTATCCTAGAATAACTTGACATCAAACCCTGCCTTTTTATTACATATTCCTACATCAAAACAGCTTGGTGTGGTCCTGGGTTTCGTTGTTATTGTTGTTGTTGTTATTGTTAGTGTTATTGCTTTTTGTAGGGAGTAAAGGGGAAACACAGAAATGGGGAGAGGAAGGGTGAACAAATGTAGTTATGGCATTCAGTATACATTATGTGAAGTGAACTGTGAAACTTATGGGCAGGGACAGGAGTGGGAAACTGGGGGAAAACAAATGAAAGGGTGACATTGTATTCAGGTGGGGATGGTAGCTTAGTGGTAGAGTGCTTGCCTAGCAGTGGCGCTGTGGTACTGTGGCTCAAATGGTAGAATGCTAGCCTTGAATAAAAAGGCTCAGGCACAGCACCCAGGCCAAGTTCAAGCCCAGGACCTTCTCACACAAAAATTTTAAAATAATACTATACTAAGACATTATTTGAGCCCCATAACTGACAAAACAAAATATCCACCAAGACTATTCTGGGCTGGGAATATGGCTTAGTGGTAGAGTGCTTGCCTAGCATGCATGAAGCCCTGGATTCAATTCTTCAGTACCACATAAGCAGAAAAGGTGGGAAGTGGCACTGTGACTCAAGTGGTAGAATACTAGCCTTGAGCAAAAGCTCAGAGACAGGGATCAGGCACTGAGTTCAAGCCCCAGGACTAGCAAAAAAACAAAAATAAAAACACAACAACAACAACAACAAAAATGAAAACAAAACAAAAAAACAATTGATAAAAAGGAAGTGGCACTGTGGCTCAAGTGGTAGAGCGCTAGCCTTGAGCTGAAGAGCTGAGGGACAGTGCCCAGGCCCAGAGTTCAGGCCCCACGACTGACCCAAACAAACAAACAAAATGGAGAACCTGGCGCAGGTGGCTCATATCTGTAATCCTAGCTACTCAAGAGGCTGAGATCTGAGGATTGAGGTTCAAAGT